AGAGTCATCAAACGATCGACGTTTAATGAAACTAAACCATCTAAGGCGACTCTCTATAACTTGTTCGCCGCTAGAGCTACTCCAACCCTTTCACGTATATACTCGTTTAGCATTTTGTCTCTTAGGTGTAAAGCCACTCATCCGCCTAACATGCTCATCTCAGCAACACTTAACTTAATTTTATGCCCATCTTTTATAAGTCAACATTTTGCGCCAAAAAGTAGATACAGTTCGACCCAATTTTCACATAAATTAGGGCAGGCACAGATTTTATTACAAGAGCATCAAACACTCAACTCGAATACTTAAGATAAATACATACAATTTCAGAGATAGGCGATCTCTCCCAATTCATACAATTCGAGAGGTATGAAATCTCCTCCAAACCCTAAACCTAAGACTCACAACAAAAATCTCATGCATTCCTAACCCAAAACCTATTATGATATATTTATACTAAACAGTAATAAATAATAAAAGACTAAATTGGACTTAGGCACCCAAAAAATGAAATTGCCCTTAGCCTAGGCATCAGTGTAACAATATCCGCCCCCCCCCCCCCCCCCCCAAAAAAAATGTAAAGTAAAGGTGTTACTCCACCTCAATTGTATTTGTTTCTTCATAACTTGTTTCCTCATCACAAGCTGTGAGAAACTGTAATGTTCGATCATTATAATGGTGTTTTGGGTTAAACTTCTCATCACACCAAAAATATAACCACTTAGTTCGTTTATCTTGAATTTCTATCTCTATAAGACGCTTGAGTGTCACTCCTGATCGTTACCCGTGATTCTTGTCCTATGAAGCCTCTCTCTAAACTTCAACTATTTGAGTTTTTGGTATTATCATGGTTGTAGTAGTTCGGTATGACACTCCACCTATGTTGCTCCAATTAGCGAGTTCCATAGCTTTATAATCTTCAACCAACTGCGCTAATTTAATTCCATAGTTTCTCAGTTTCTCCAAGCCTCTTGACTGAAGCACTGCACATATGTAGGTTTTAGACCCTTCATGAAGTTTTCCTCCAATATTGCTTCAGAAAATCTCCTCAGCCGCCCCGACAAAAGCTTGAATCTCTTCCTATACTCCATAACAGTCCCTTCCCGAGTCAATTCAAAGAATTGTCATGTAGGTCCCCTTCCCGAATGGCTTTAATAATTTATCAAACTCATAATAATATTTCTTTCAATCATTCAATCAACTCATAGTAGAGCCATAATGATTTTTAATTATGACAAGCATATCCACAAAATTTTTTATTTACAAAATTTTCTAAGTTATCCTTTGTCTATAAAATCAATATGTAAGTTTTCTTAGCAAACTATTTTTACCAAAATCCAACAATTTTTATAGATGTGTCAAAATAGTAATCTGGCTATTTACAGAGATCATTTTAGTTCCAAAATCCATAAAAGTGTCAAATCAATCCCTATACACTTTTAATGACGGCTAAAACAGTCCTATAGATTATTTTAACAAATACTAAAAGAATCTAAGGGCTAAATTAACACTTCATAGACTCTGAGACTAAAATGACCCAATGCAAAAAGTTAGGGGATCATTCTAACACTTTTTCTTAGTATTAGGTGCATGACAAGGCATGTCTCCTTAAAAGTTAGGGGATCATTCTAACACTTTTTCTTATTGATAGTATTAGGTGCATGACAAGGCATGTCTCCTTAAAAATTATATCTTGTAGGAAGAGTGAACTTGTGCAGATACTAGAATGAACAAAAAAGTCCCTTTTCAAACAGAAATTTAAAATAAAATTCTAGATTATTTTTTGAGTACCTTTAGATTTCTTTCTCTTTTTCTATTCATCTTCAGCAAATCTATTGATCTGGAGGTTGTCCATCCCTGCCTCCCACGCCTATTCTGCACTTCAACTTGAAAGAATTAATTAATCTTGCATTACTTCCAACGTGACTTGAAACTCTCTCAAATTCTACAGCAGTATGAATAAGTTTAAAGAATGATAAGGTGCATCTGAAGGTAGAAAAATGAAGACAAAATAAAATTGAAGAATAGTATTTTGATAAGCTATTAAATTGGGGTATAATCACCACACACTCCAACTTTCATTAAGGAAGTTTGTTCCATGAATTCATGATTCCATTAAGATGTAGTGAAACCACCCACATCTACATGAGGGTTAATCTTCAAGTTGTTAAATCAATGCGGGCACTATAAAAATCTTCCATGAGGATACCAAAATTATTGCTCAAAAATCCATTTGATTGCTTGTTGATGGTAATTTCTTTTTTTAAAGTAAAGTTCTTGAATTTCATTATTTTATTAGATTCACTTATGTTGTAATAAAAAATAGCATGAATCACTTCAATGTAATAACTTCATTTTCACAAATAAAATGAGTTAAAATGAAATCATAACTATCTCTAAGAAAATATTTGAAGTAGGATTAACCCAAAATCTTAACACATCTTAGCATATTAAAATACATATAAAGGAAATCTCCACCTTAAAAAACACTAATAGCTCTTTTTATGGAGCATAGTATTCAAAAAATAAGTGCCAATTGAAGTGACATAATCTATCAAACTTAGAAACTTAAGAAAGTTTGTTTGCAACTTCAGATATGAAAGAAGTAGATAGTATAAGTAACAGTATACAATTGAAAACTATTATGCATGTTATCAACTTAGGATGATATATCTAGAAGGTTAAACAGTTTGATAGCAATATTATAAACTAAAAGCTCTAGGAGCCATGATGTTGCAAAAATTAACATAGATCAAAATCACCTCTCTGAGCTAACATTAAACAAAACATAGAAGAACAAGGGTCAGTTTAGGGTAGCTATAGCTTTTTGTAAAGATGGTTGTAAAGCTATGGTAGAGAAAGCAATGACTTAGAAAGCTACGGTAGGAAGTATAAATATGTATTTATTCCTAGAAGTCAAACAATAAATTTTCTACAGCCATCACACTTCAACATATTTGGTCACAAAAAAGAACTTCCCGCTAAAAAGAATAATAATAATAAAATCTAGAGAGCTGCAAAAAAATACCCCAAATAGAATTTGTGGTAGCGGTTTGAAACACAATATAGGTAGAAAGTTTTTCCAAACAAATCCTAACATTTCTATCAAAAAGTTACATCAAACAGAAAAAATTCAACAAATAAAACCTGCAAAGAATCATAAAAAACTAATTAAATCATAATAGAATTTCTGTTCAACAATTACCTAATCAAGATGTGGAATACATAAGAGATGTTACATGAAGAAACTCATCTAGTTTGTCCTTCCATTTCTGATAGAAGAGTCAATGCCTCTTTATCTAACTTCAAACCAGCCATCTCCACCTCCTTGCAAATCTTCCTGCACTTAGCCAGCCTCCCTGAGGTCGCATAGGCCTTGATCATGTCTTTATATATATCATAAGTAGGAGCAAAACCAGCCTCCTTTAATCTCAAAAAATATCGCACGGCCCTTTCAAGATCATTCAAAGCAACACAAAGCCTGATAACAACTCGATAAGCTGGAAGATCCAAAAGAAAATCCAATTCCTCCATCTCCCATACTAAGGTCAATCCTTCCTCATATCTCTTGCTGCAATACCTGCTAAATATCACTGTTGTATACATGACAATGCTAGGATTCCTTCCTGTATCCTTGAACCAATTAAAAAGCCTCTCTACTGTTTCAAATCTCCCAAGCTTAATACAAACCTTCATGATAGATGTTGTGTCCTGCGGCTTCAGATCCAAACTTTCTCTCTCACCAAGCTCATCAAGCAGTGCCAATGCAAGCTTGTAGCCATTTGGTGTCCTCCCTGCTTCAAGAATGAGCTTGGCATGAAGACTTGTTTCCAGAGTCCGCTTATTGTCTCTGGCAAGCACTAGAAGACGGCGAGCACGGCTTAAATTTCCTCCTTTTATGAATCCCCTCACCATGGCTTCCACCACACAACGGCTTGCAGAGTTCAGAAACTTCTCCAGTTCAGACTCGATCTTCAGTTCTCCATTACGAGCCAAGACCTCTATGGTGGAAGAAAGAGTGCGGTCATCAGGAAATAGAAATGGCCGCTGCTTCTGAACCCAGCAGAAGGTCTCAAGGGCGCGTTTTGGAAGACCCATATGACCTAATTCTCGAATTGTCATAGACAAGGAACCCTTTCTCAGAAATGGAGACCATTCGTCGAGCACCTCGGATGCATCCACATCTGGTGGAAGAGCAGCAATCTCTCGAGATATACGAATGAGCGCCTCTGGGTTCTTGAACACTTGATCAGTGAAGGATGAACGCGGTAATAGGTTTTCACGGGCGGCCAAGCGAATGTGTCGCTTTGGTGTGGGACTTTGATGTAAGCTTTTTCTATGAGGTGAAGGAAGGGGAATAGGTCTTTCCCTCTTACGCTTCTCAGGCTTTTCAGACATTCTTCTTTGAAACAGGGCAGCAATGGCTTCGAGTTCGTCAGGGCTCCATTCTGATTCATCGGTTAGAGCATTGCCGATGTTATAAAGATTTGATTTTTCCTCCGTGTCTTTGGAGTTCGAATCATGGGCAGCACCAAGTTTGCTTTTTTGTATGGGAAAACGAGGGATCTCGGGACCTAATGGCGATTTGGTCAGGCAAGTGTAGCGGAGAATCTTGGGAAGAAGAATTCGGGATGAGGAAGAAGCTCGCCAACTGTTCGTTGAGAAGGAGAAGATGGCTAATTTAGCGATTAAGGGAGATGGATTGGCTAAAATTTGCTCCATTTCGTAAAAGCCAGTGGAATTTTCGGGGT